GTGCATCCCTTCCCACGTCCAGTCCCTCACATGCCCCGCCTCCCCTCTTCCTATTCCCTCATTGCTCTGCCCTGGGCTACTCCAACTTCCCCATGCTATTTGCAGGGCCGACTGCCTGTGAAGTGGATGGCACCCGAGGCTTTGTTTGACCGGATCTACACCCACCAGAGTGATGTGTGAGTCTGACAAGGGCCATTGCCATGGATACTCGGGATAGAAAATGTCTGGTACAATAGGGTCCTGTCCTCCTCTCTGAATTGAAGAGGGTCTCCTTCTATTTTGAGGAGAAAACAAAGCAATGTGTTGTATATAACCATTTACTTTGTTCCCGGAGGTGGAAAGGCCCATCTGTCTTCCGCTCTCTCAGTATTCTCCTGGGAATTAAGGGTTTTCATTGGGGAGGGTAGGTTCAGGATGAGTATGTGACATGCTGGTGAAGGAGAGATGGAAAGGATTCTAGGTTGGCCCGGCCCTGGGTCCACAACACCCATGGGCTCTGTGCTCATCCACAGGTGGTCTTTTGGGGTGCTCCTGTGGGAAATCTTCACTCTGGGAGGATCCCCATATCCCGGTGTGCCTGTGGAGGAGCTTTTCAAGCTGTTGAAGGAGGGTCATCGGATGGACAAGCCCAGCAACTGCACCAACGAGCTGTAAGCATGAGAGGATGCCCAAGGTCCTGAGTTAGGCCCTGGAGGCCGAACGGGTTTGCTGGGAAGAGGAAGGAAGGGATGTTTAGATAGAGAAAACAGCCGCTCCTGGTCACCCCTCCCAACAGTCCCTCCTCCGTGAGCTACTTAATCTCTCCACGTACGCGTTTCCTCCCCTGACCTCACAATCCTGCCACAGGTACATGATGATGCGGGATTGTTGGCACGCAGTACCCTCTCAGAGACCTACCTTCAAGCAGCTGGTAGAAGACCTGGATCGCATTGTGGCCTTGACCTCCAACCAGGTGAGGCTGTCCCGTCGTCACCGCTTAGGTGCGTCTCTGTGAATGAAGACTGCTGCAGGGAGGAGCGTGCTGATCCTTTGTTCTTCTGTTTCTCCCATCGCAGGAGTATCTGGACCTGTCAATGCCCCTGGACCAATACTCTCCCAGCTTTCCCGACACCCGAAGCTCTACCTGCTCCTCGGGGGAGGATTCTGTCTTCTCTCACGAGCCGTTGCCTGAGGAGCCCTGTCTGCCCCGACACCCAGCCCAGCTTGCCAATGGCGGACTCAAACGACGCTGACCAGCACCCCAGCACTGCCCTCCCCAAACTCCATCATCAGCTGTAACTCACCTGTCACTCCCCACAGGACTCACTGCCTCCCCTTTGCCCCTTCCCTGCCGGCGGGAGCCAGCTGCCTACCTGAGGCCTTCACCCCACTGAGTTCTCCTCTCTTCCTCCTCCTCCTCTCAACTTGCTTATGAGAGAGAGGAGCAGAGAGGCTGGTACTTGCTGATGGCCACTCTGTTCCCTTCCCAGTGGTGGACCAAGACCCCTCCCCGCCCCCTGGCACTGCCCGGAGGGGTGGGAGTGGGAGGTAAGCGTGCTGAGCAGGCATGCTAGCGAGAGCTGACTGAGCTTTCTTGTGTTAGTTTTGTCTGCTTCACCGTCACCCATAAGCCCTTGTGTTCTGGTAGCGGGTGCCTCGTCCTCAAGGCTACAGTATAGGGGAAAGTCTCTGCTTCGGGCCTTGGTTGAAGGCTCCAGAGAGATGGTGCCATTGGCTGATTAATTCTGATGCTAATTTGCTTTGCTGACCAAATACTTGGTACCAGAAGGCAGGGAGGCGAAGGCTGGGAGCAGTGTCATGGCCCTGGGGCCCAGCCCCGACGGGGGGCTTTGTACATAGCTATGAAGAAAACACAAAGTGTATAAATCTGAGTATATATTTACATGTCTTTTTAAAAGGGTCATTACCAGAGATTTACCCATTGGGTAAGATGCTCCTGGTGGCTGGGAGACATCAGTTGCTATATATTAAAAAACAGAGGGGGGGGAAAAAGAAGAAAAAAAAAAAAAAGGAAAATGTTTTTAAAAAGGTCATATATTTTTTGCTACTTTTGCTGTTTTATTTTTTTAAATTATGTTCTAAACCTATTTTCAGTTTAGGTCCTTCAAATAATAAAAATTGCTGCTGCTTCATTTTTATATGGGCTGTGTGACGAGGGAGAGAATGGCAACCGAAAAGGAGCAAAAAATGATGGGCCATGGGCCTGGGTCTGTTCAGAGGGCCCTGCACATTCCCTGCCATGTCCTCCTAACCTCTTCCTTTTAGGTCCTGGGCTGACACCTCCGGACAAAACTCCCACCCCTTGGCTGCTTTTGGAAAGGCAGGAAAAGAAGACATCTGTGTAGTGAGCAGGGACCTCCTGTCAGTGCACCAAGGGTGCTGGGCCAAAGCCAGGAGCCCTCCTCCCTGCAGCCCTCAACCACAAATTGTTTCCTCAGGGGAAGCTGGTGGGTTCGGGTGGGTCAGATGGTCAGAGAGGGAGCCGGGGGCCTCTCTCGGAATAGCCAAGGAGTAGAACTGAAGAGGTGGAGGCAAGCTAAGGATTATTCCGGCGGGGGTGTGCTGAAACCCGAACCCAGATTTGCATCTACGCCCTCTGTGTGAGTGTGGTTTTGTCTGTGCTGCTGTGGAAGGGGAAGCTTGTCACCCAGGACGAGGTCTACATTAAGGTCCCTCGCTTCATGTTTTCCAGCCTGCTCTGTGTTCGTGATCCTCCCCCACACCAGTACCCAAGTGATCAAACTGCATGCAAGTTGGGACTATCACAGATCTTGGCTTCCTATAGGTCCTTCCTGTACAAACCCCATCCCCTCCCTCAGCAAAGGGAAAAAAATGCTGTACATGTTTGAGGCGGCTTGGAAATTCACTTCCTCTGCCACCTGCTGGTGGTCACTGCACTCACCAAGCGTGTCCTGGCTCTTCAGAACTCAGTGCTTAACCTGCCTGTGCAGCCTCTAGACCGGAAGCTTGCTTTTTTTTTTTTTTTTTTTTTGCCGGATTACGGCTGAATACAAGAAAGTTCACTATGCTTTCATTTCTGTAGGGAAAATGGGATTGCTGCTTTATGTTTCCTTTCTGAGCTAGCTGGGATTTTTTTGGCAGCTACAGTGTTGGCTACTATTGTAAATGAGTTCTTTCCTTGTGTCTTTGTAAATATGCAACTGTCAATCTCTTACAGTTTGTGTTTATGTTTAATGAAGGCATAATTTGGTGAACAGAGCCAGGAAATTAATTTTAGCTCTTAAAAACATTTGCTTTCAGACCTTACAGTGGTATCTTTCCTTGTAAAACAGTGATGATCATTTCTGCCTTGGCCCTCGAAGCAATGTTGTGAGAATGGATGAACTATGAACGGCTTTATATCCCTTCGGGAGAGGTGCTAGGAAAATATATAAGGCACTATTCTAAGTGATGTCTTTGTTGTTGCTACTCAAATCACCCCTGGATTTCCCCAGAGACTGAGCTGGCTGTCTAATAAAAGATAGTGAAATTGACCTGAGAGAAAATGAAATGACCGTTTTACTTAGATGACCAGATTGGGTCTCCTGAGAAAAGGAATCCAGTTTATCTAATGACGGCAGCGTGCTGTCGAGGCACTGAACTTGTCTGGTTTCCCGAGAGCTAAAAGATTAGGGCCTGGGATTACCACAATATTAATCAATGCTGCCTTTCTGCCTTTTCTGATTGCCATAGACTGAGGATCAGTCCCTTGGTATCGCTAATGTAATGTAATGTAATGTAATTGATCTCAGGTAAGTAAGATGGAACCTCATGAAACAAATGTATCTCAATGACAATGAAGTCGCTGTGTATCAGTGGCCACTGGGAGGAGCCAACAGGCCATTATCTCAGTCCAATTAGGTAATATGCCAGCCTGTTTTGAAGTTCCAGTAGGGTGTGTATTCGTGGTGACTGGGCGGTCTTTAACCTAGATTTTAGCACTATTGAGCATTTATTGGATATCACCAATATGACCTGTAACAATCGAAGTATAGAGTTAGACAGCACAAGAGCAGGTCTGTGGATGTCAAGTGCCACCGATATCTACCTGGAACAGAATTCTCAATGTCTAAGATGCAGGCCATGTCTATAATCACTCAGATTGGGTTTCAGAAATTTCCTAAAATTATACTCAGTGGGTTTAGTAGCAGCTGGTACACTGAGGTATATGCATCTGCAGGGAAGAGTAGAGAACCAGGAAGAGAGTTTTGGAGCAACCTGGCACAGCTTTCCACTCCCTAAGTTGAGAGCCAGGGAAAGGGAAGGTCAGCAAGAACCCAAGTGTTCAGGAAGACTCAGCTTTCGGCAAGTAACAGAATTTAGAACCATTTATGCTTCTGGTGCACAAAAGTGATGCATTTAGTGAGCATGACGTCTAGTAGTTTGTTTCTTGTTGCTCCGGTAGGCACTACAGTTAGTAAGTAGTGTGCTGGGACTGGTTCTTGAGTCAATTGTGTATATCTTGTCCCAACTGGTGTTCAGTGACCTGTTGGTAGCTTGAAATCAGCCTTGTGGGAGTATTTACATCACTGGAATTTGTAAGTGTTACAAACCAGCCCTCCTCCCCCTCCAGTTAATCATTTCTCTAAACACCACTAACTCCATCTCAGCATGGGGCTAGGTCTAACAATCATGGAACCAACAGCCATGCCCTTTAAGTGATGAGAACAAAAGGAATTATCTTGACTTCCTTAAGAAGGGGAAGATAGGTGTGTCGTGCATCTTAGATGCCTGTTTATGAAGCAAAAATGGGTGAAGGCCAACTGGGGCCAAAAGTGACCAGGTGCCCCTTGACCTACTCCTTCTCACTCTGCTAATAACCCCACTGACCAGGGGCCCCTTGACTTAATCATTCTTAATCTGCTGGTAGGGAAAGCCAGAAAGATTGTAGTCCAACAGCAGACATAAATCATTCAACCTGAACAGGATTCTACAAGTAGCTAATCTCTTTCCCACAGTCAACACTTGAAATGCGAACTAATTAAAATTAACATCCATCATTTAAAGGGGGGGGGGGGTTATTTATTATGAATCACCTTGTTAGTCCAATGGGGAGATCCATGGAACGCTGCATAGTAGGGATTCATTCTTCTCAAGGAACAGGGCGGAGTTCATTAGCAGGACATGGTGGAGCTTGTCTTCTCGTGGAGAGGAGGAAGTTTAGGAAGCTTATAAAAAGCGCATGTTCTTGCTGTGAAATGCTGATGATGGTCCTCAAGGATATTTGCATTTTTATTTAGTTTGACTGATTCCCATCCAACTGCTTTCAGTTTCACAGCAAGTCAAGAGATCTGATTTCATCACCCACAGGCCGAAATACCTTTTCCCTCCTAAGCGCTCCCCAAGGGAAAAGGGCTGTGGGTCAGCTGCACAGCAATCTAGGATGTTGTTTTTCTTTTCCGTTTTGACAATACAGAAAACACCAAGCAAATGTCTGAAACATAATATTTGTTACAGGGTAGCGTGGGGATTATATCAGACTTTAATTACTCCTATGACTAATAAAGAGTCTCGTTTGTGAAAGACAGACCAGAAAAACACACCCAGCACAAACAAATGGTTAAGTCTTAAACCCTTAATTATGCTTCCTAGCAAAATGGTGGCTAATGAAAGCCATGTGTGCTAGGATCATGGCAGCCTCCCAGATTCCCGCAGACCCAGAGGGGAAGTCTCGCAACAGCCGAGCAGCAGCCAAACCTTTTTGGGTTGCCAGTCTAATTCCTCATTCTATCCTCCAGGAAGTTTTTTTCTTTCTATCCAGAAAGACCGCACTGAGGAATATCCATTCCATCTCATGAGCACTTTGTTTCCAGAGCACTGCTCCTACCGGTGGGTCACTCTGAAAGAATTGGTGAGGTGCTCTTACAATGGTATTTGGAGTTTTCCAAGTTCTTTACTCAGGTTGCCAAGTCACAGGAGGCAGAGTTGTCTAAGGACTAAGCTGATTACATTATGCAAAAAAAATAAATAAATAAAAATTCCTCCCCTGAAGGAAGGAAATGGGCACAAATATGAAGCTGTTAAAAACAACATGGGGTGGAGGGGGGGGTGGTGCTTTACACAAAGTTTAGTGGGATGACATAATGACACAGAGGAAATGGGTTTTGCAATTATAGTTTTCTAAATGGTCTGAACTTGGTCTGACTGCTGACATCATCTGGAGTGTTTACAAGGTCTCAAAAGGACTGCCCCTGATCCTCTATTCAAACTAGACCCCATCTGAGCTGGGAGGTCCTTTATGAATGCCACTGCTGAGGGCAGGAAGTTGAGAGCGTGAGCTTCATCCTCCAGGCGTCCTTCTGCTCCCTATTGGCGCTGCTCTGGGCTGTCTTGTGATTTGGTCTGGAACGTCTAGGTACAAAACATGAGGATGTTAGCCCCTGGTCACAATTAGATGTTTAAGTTCTTTAGGTCTTACTCTTTTGGTTTTCTTAATCAAAATAATGACAGACCACAAAGTCAAATCTGAGTTTATAATTTACGTGGTAATAAAAATAAAGACTTGCAAATCAGGCCTCGATGCAATTTGCCCCATCTGACTTCCCTGGTGCTCTTTGGTCCTCAGGAGCCAGGAGAACCGCTCACTACACAGTTCAACCCTCCCATGACCCCTCTACTGTTTGCTTGCATTATGCTTTTTTTCTCTTGCCCCAAATTCCTTTATCCAAATGGAAAAATAGATAAGTAATTTGTTATTTACAAGCATTTCTCCTAAAATTTAAATTGCTTTCCTGCTAGTATCTCCTGACATGAATCCTGTGTGAAATATACAACATATGGGAACTATTTCCATCTGGCACAAAGGAAAATAAGAATCTGCCTATATTGTAATTAGCTTCTAGACTTAACATGTTTAGGTCTGATCCACAATTGCATTGGTTGATTTTTTTTTCTTTTCACTTTTGGATAATTGAGTTTTAAAAACTGTAGTGGTTATAAGATGACTAAAATTCAGCCTACAGCTTCCTGTTTGAATGACAGGAAGAACTATGCAGAAAACAAGGACTGTGCAGTGTTTTACAAGTTATGATTCTAGATTTTCAATGCCCTTAAAAAGAACTAGAGGGAAAGGGGTTTTCTTTATTTATTTATTTAGGTAATACTTACAGCTTCTTTAGCAGAAGTCACGGATTCTTTAGGTAATGAAATAGGTGCTGATGGTGGTATGGGTGATGATGTAATTGGTGGCAGTTGTATAAACTTTTCATCCTTAAACATCAGAACTGAGAGTTGGGTTACTGGTTTTAAAACAATGTGCATGAGATCGATAGTCCTACTGCCATGACTACCAGGAACCTGCAACAATTATTTCAGATTCTGGCACAGGACTCAAGAGGCAAAATCTGGAACCTAATTACATATAACCAAATGCTGAACTTTCTTAGAAACAGTAATACAACAAATATTACTTATTAAAGAACACCATTAGAAGATCAGTTCTATTAAGAGGGTTACAAATAGAGAAATGAACTTATTTTCATATTTAACTTAAGCCTATGAAAAGTAATGGTGTAACCTTAGTTCCCTTCAGTTGAGGTGCTAAGTCCACCAAGTTCTCTTTAGATTCAGGTGAAGTAGGTGATTCCACAGGACTATCTATCTTCGGAGCCTAGGGAGAGAGATGTTATGTAAGCATGAACTTTCTGCTCTTCCTGAAACTCAGAAGCACTTCCACAGTTAGTAGTCAACGCTTTCTAGAACAATTCACTTTCCACTAAATCCCTAACTTGCTCCAACCCATATACCTTTTATGAGTAACATGAAGTATGTCCCTGAAATAGCAACTTAGTAGTATTTATCTTGCAGTTTTGAACACAAGTTGCATTCTAATTAAATTCTAGTATTTAAAATCTTCAATCATTTACAAGCTACTGGTTTGCCAATTCTGGTGGTATTCTAGTCTCAAAAAAGGTGCCATTTCTCAATTACTCATCTATTTCTAATGGCATGGTTAAAATTGACATTTATCATTGCTGGCTTCTAATGATACAAATTATTTAAATGGTAGGTGCTACTTAAAAGAAATTCCTATAAAACAAGGGAGAGAGTGGCATTCCAAAATAGCTAACTAATTTGTCTTTAAGAATTATATTAATTAAATTTGAAAAATATATCACTGCTCTTTGGAAATAAGTAATTTCTTTGTGTACATTGGAGGGAAAGGGGCTACATATATCCAAAATTATAGAATATTTGAAGTCTAAATTTTTATAGAGCCTAGCATGCTACTTGTTTTCATTTTTACATATGGAGAATAGAAGTTTTAAAACTGGACTTTTTTAAAAAGCAAAACAATAAAATGCCTAGGAGCTTGTCATTTTGTCTTTAATCCCTAGGTCTTTCTCAATCATTCCAGAAAACAACATCTGGATAAAGAGTTTCTGCCCATCTACTATAAGTCTGAGAACGCAAATTTAGCTCTGAGACGTTGTGCTATTCCAAGATTTCCTTGCTCCTGCCAGCAGTCAATGAATGACAGATAACTTTGATCTGCCTTGAAGACCAAAGATAGAGTAAGAAGAAAAACCCAATAGCCTGCCTGCCTTTTTTTTTTTTTTAACAAGGTCTGTGCTCCAAAACTGCTCCTACCTAGTTCCCCTAGAATCCTTCCTGGACAAAGCCCACATCCAGATTAGTCTCTGGAACTCTGCAAAGGGAAAGCAAGATGGGGTCTCCTGAAGTGTATTTTTCATGCTGGACTGCATATCATTTTCCTTGGCTTGTCCAAAGAGTCAACAGCATAACAAAGATTTAAAATGGTTGGTCCTCACTCCAGAATATTCCATCTAATCTACTAAACCACATGTGCAGCATGCTCTATAGGGCCTGTCCTTTCTCACCCATGTAGGTTCTGATTAGACAAGAAGCCACAAAGTAGAACAGTGCAAGGCCCTTTCTGGTGGACCCGAGCAAGATGCTCTAGTGACTGGGCCAGTCCTGTGTTCTCAGTAAAATACCAAAAGGAGAAAAAGAAAAAAAAAAAAAGACTACTGAGTTAAAGGCAACAACAACAAAGATTAGGACAATAAGTTGTAGAAAGACCAAAAGTTTAGATTCTACATTGGCCATTCGCTGCTTAAAAATTAATAGGAATCTGGACAAATGAAATAGATGTAATAGAACAAGAACCACTCAGTCTCAAAGGAGAAAGTGATGAAAACAGTCTGAAGACTAGATGGTTAATGAGAAGGAATGATCTGGACACCTATTAGTAAAACCAAATCAAGCTGGGTCAAAGGCAGTAACATCCCTACAGCAGAAGATAGTTTCAGTGATTTTAATATTTTCTAGGAATTTAAAAAGGATTTTAAGGCCAGTTGGCCAAAATTCCAAAAGAAATGCCTACTCTGACTACAAGAGGAAATAAGAGATTCGGGGAGAGGCCTCTGAGCCCAGTTACTCACCTCTCCACTTGGTGGGATCTCAATTGGCTTTGGCTTCACATCTATCAGATAGAAGGTTCTTGACATGAGCAAAAGAGAAGGGGGGACGTTCTCCTTCAGGTGGAGGTCCTGCCACTGGGGGATGAAACACGAAAATCACAGAATGGGAGACCTGGGTGGGACCCAGGATCATCTGCTTCCCTGGCTCTACAGCTTCCCCAGGCTCATGCTGATAATTCACGGCAGAATGAGGGTAAGAACGTCCCTCTTCTGGCTTTGGCACCAGTAGTTGGACAGCAACGCACTCCCCTCTGGTAAGATCCTCTCAAAGTCAGAGAAAGAACTTTTTATTAAACTCTTAAACCAACTGCGGATCAAAGAAGCTAAGTATCTTCTCTTGGGCATAAAGTAGACGTTAAAAAATAAGTCAACCTCATTAACACCAAAGAAACGAACATTAAAATGTGAATGAGATGTAAGTTTTCAAGTACCAGATTGGCCACGCTTTAAAATACATATATTTTTAGATCAATATATGCACAAGACAAAATTCAAAAGATCAAATGAAATCAATAAAAATAAGCCCGCCTTTTACCCCTCTTGCTATCCTATTTCCCTCCCTTAAAGCAATTCCTAACACTGGTACCAACTCCTAGTACAACCTTCCAGAGATATCCTATGTCCATACAAATATATCTTTTTTTATCTTTACACAAAGGGTGAGATACACACTTTTGTCCTTGCTTTTTTTTTTTTTTTTTTTTTACTGAAATATTGCATCCCGCAGATTGATTCATATAAGGAGATATAGAGCTGTCTCCTTTTTAAACATCTGTAAAGGATTCCACTGTATGGAAATGCCATGGTTTATTTGATTATACTCCTGGTAATGAATCTTAGGCAGTTTCTAATCTTTTGCTGTTACAGACAGTGCTGCAATGGATCGTCTTTTAATATGTCATTTTGCACATGTGCAAGAAGTGAAATTGCTAGGTCAAAGTAAATGCATTTTTAGGATTTGAAAGATAATGCCAAACCCCCATGGACATTTTTACCAACAATACATGAGTGTCCCTCTCCACAGCCTCACCTACATGGTATGTTTTCAAACTCTGGTCTTTGCCAGAGTGGATGTGGAGTCTCATAGTTTTATCTTATGAAGTTAAGATGTTTCATTTTGACTCATTTTCCTTTCTAGGAAATGTATGCCCATATTCTGACACAGGATTTTTAAATAATTCACAGTGCTGCATATTATGTGGCCGGATTAGTATCTTCACTCCCTTATAGTGGGATTGTAAAATGATACACCCCTGCACGAAAGTAACTCATTAAGAGAGTTGAACCCACTTAATGCACTCTGTTCAAGAAATAATTTCTTTTACTAACTCTCTACAATATGTCCATCTGCCAACCAGAGCAGGTCCAACATATAAGAGGAAAAACCTGACATGGTTTCAAAGCCCCAGCAATGGCTCCTGTTCCAAAATAACTTGTGTACACTTTATAGCACCTTTTACAATTATAGGAATGAGGATCCTTAATAGGAGTTACCCCTTTATTTTAAGGCATTACATTTAGGTGCACTCTCCCCCTCGGGAGCACACCCACACCTTTCTCTTCCCCTCGACCCCCCAGGTGTGCCCTTTGCCTTTCTCTCCCCTAAGCTCCAAGGGCCCTTCTGCCTCTGTAACTTGTTTCCTGAGCCTACCCAGCCCAGCCGGCTCACTTCTACTTCCTCTGTAACTTTCTAAAAACACTTTCTCTTGTAACTTGAAGGAAAAAAAAAAAAAAGGCATTACATTTAGTTAACATAAACGTTATCTGAGGGACAACATTAAACATCGGATACCAAAGCTAACAGTTTACATTGGTTCGGGGCACTAACCGGGACGGCAGTCCAGGTGAGCCTCAGGCAAGGCTACACCTCCAGACAGAGTCACACACAGGGCAGGCCTTTATTAAAGCGTCTGCCCAGGTCCTTTCAAGACCTGGAGTAGGCAGAATTCTAAGGTGGCCCCGAGATTCTCAGTCCCTCATGCACCCACAGCTTCCCCAGGTTATTCATTCAAATACTAATTTGGTGCTGCTATGAAGGGATTTTGCAGATATAATTAAGGTCCCAAGTCCGTTAACCTTAAAATGGAAAGATTATCTGGTAGGCCTCACCTAATCACGTGAGACCTTTAAATCTGGAACTAGAGATAAAAAAAAAAAAAAGGAACTGTGATTTAAAGCATGTGGGAGATTGGCATATGAGAGGTTCTTTGCAGATGGAGGTGACCTAGGGGTTAAGGAATGCTGGTGGCCTTCAGGACTGAGTAATCCAGGGCTGACAGCCAGTGAGGAAACAAGCACCTCGGTCCTGCAGCTAAATTCAGCCAACAAGTGGAATGAGCTTGGAAGTGGGGTCTCCCCACAGCCTCCAGAAAGGAACGCAGCCTGCACCTCTGACCTACAGGACCAGGAGCAAATAAATGGGCGTTGTTTTAAGCCAGTAAATGTGATTATTTGTTATGCATTCATGGAAAACTAATACCGAACTTCATCTCAGTCCAAAAATCTAGCTGCTTTGGTATCTCCACCGCTCAATTAAATAAAGCAAATTAGGTAAAATGGTTCACTTGCAATGTAGCAATCACAAAATAAGTCTTCAAAGTGTAGAGAAGAAAGCCAGTAAAAAGGCCCAGGAAAGCTGCTACTTGCCTCTGTGAGCTGTTGGGTCAGTTGTTCCTCAGTGAGACCCAGTGATCTCATCCCTCGGGCCCTACAGGCAGCTTGTAGTTCTGGCACACTCAAAGCACTCACCCCTTCATTGGCAATTGCCTGAAAGAAATGTAAGGAATGGTGCTGGATCTTTTGGTTCCAATTTCACCTAACTCCAACAAGTCAGGGGAAACACAGGATCTGATGCTTCCAACACTTAGTGCCCATACTGACTGCTGCAAAGGCCAGCCACCTATAAAAATAAGGTGACTTAGGAAGGTGTGGCAATTGAGATGAAGGGCATCCTGCCAAAAGGTATTCTATAAAAGCCTAATATGCAAATTGTCCCCTCAACTGGGAGTTTGGCCAGGGGCAGGGCTGGCTGGCCAACCTCCTGCAGCCCCTCCCCGCAGCTGGCCCTGTCCCCAACACCCCATCCGGATCAGGGGCAGGGCTGGTCAGACCCCACCTGTGCACAAATTCATGTGCCGGGCCTCTAGTTAATAATATCAGAGATATTTACATAACTTCTCAACACTCTGTCAACCAAAGTAATTATTTTCCCCCTTGATTTGCATTTGCCTACTTGTGATGCCTCTATTCTTCCCCTTCATGGCAGCTTTCAGTTTCATTTAGAAAATATTTCACTTGAAAAGCTTTCCATGTACCATCTGTTGCCTGTCCCAGTGGTATTCTTTCCCCCACTGTCGCCCACCAAAACCCCAGGAATGGCCTTAACTCTCTGGTCCACAAAACTCCCTCAGTAAATAACACAGTTTCTGCTTGGTGTGACACAAAACTATGATACTCCTGAGACCAGTATTGTTTATTCTGAAGTTCTGAAAACAACTGAAATCTAAATGGGGCTGGTGAGATCTCTTAATTTCAAGAGAGGAAGGGAGATGAAGAGGAAGATAAAAATATCAGTTATGAGAATCACTGATTGGCTGCCTCCTGCAGGCTCCCTACTGGGGATTGAGACCACAACATGTGCTCTTGACCAGAATTGAACCCGGAACTCTTCAGTCCACAGGCCGATGCTCTATCCACTGAGCCAAACCAGCTAGGGCAGAATTCTTTAAAGCAGCTGATACACATTCAAGGAAGATTCTTTCCATTTTTTTTTTTAAGGAGTCTAATTAGCAATTATAGTCCAAATTGTGCCTTTCTTTCACAGATGTCTAGGCCCTACTTTCCCTCCCTTTCTTGCCACCCCTTCTTACCAATCCAGCTCACCCAGCAGAACATTTACTTTGGCACCAGTTCTGCGGGGAGGGAGCAGAGGTGTGGGGGTGGAGTCCTGTCCTTAGCGGAAGACTCAGGAATCTACTGGGCTGCCGTTCCTTCCTAGTGGGTCCTAACTGCTTTAGATTAGTCCCAGCTAAGACTTCCAAATTACTAATTGCTTATAATGGCCTTCTCAAGAAAATGGGTCAGAGTATAGTAACTCCTAAAATGAATAATCAAGGTTCAGGTTGTCATGGTAATAGTTATTAAAACCATTCCTTTTCCTAGAACCCGGTCCATGAGCAGACTACAGAGGATACTGCACTTTATCACAAAGCCATCCTAAGATATCTCCCAAAGCCTTGCTAATTCCCTAGAGAGAGAGTTAAGCTCTTACTTCATCATCTGCCTTTATAGACTTCAGTTTCATCAGAAGCTGAAAGCGGAGCAAATTGTTGGTTCCAAAATACTGCACTTCTAGCAGTTTGCAAAGGGCAATCAGCTGTGGTCGATGTAAGTCCTTCAGGGTTAGCTCATCTTCAAACAGTTTGGAAAAGCTAACTATCTCCTTTGTGCTGGGCCTGTGGCCTATTTGGACCTAGGCAGTGGGACAAATGGGCTCAATTAAACAATTAAAATATGTTTCCTGATTAATTTAACTTTCCCAGTAGACAATTTGAAAGACACACCAAAGCATTAATAGATTCTATCTTAGGTCTAGTAATGGGCCCTGTGGTACAAAGAGAAGTAAAGAAATTGAAGTCAGCCTAAATCAACTGAAAACTCAGGAATAGTTCAAACATTTGCCTAATTCTGTTCTTTCCAAGAAGCTATCATTGTCTTCAGCACATTGGCTGCTTTAAGATAGACATTTCTGAAAAAAAACACACAAAAAAAACACAAAACTATAAACATTTGCAATTTTATATCTATACGACTTAGATTTGCAAATTCAAAGATTGTAAACAGTTTGGAAGATCCATGATAACATGCATATTTCATAAAATTCCCAGTCCAGAAGTTGTTTGGTATTATTAGGTCCAGTAATAATTAGTGTCGTTTTCTAATACTTTTTAAAATCGAATTTATTTAAACAATACAACAAAATTTAATCAACAATATAGTTGCCGATGTTTTCTACTACTTGTGCCCAACGCTCAGGAAGCATTTTAATCCCTCTGTTGTAAAATTCTTGTGATTTTGATGCAAAAAATTCGGTCAATGCATTTTTGAGGCATTCTTCATTATTAAATTTTTTTCCAAGAGGAAAGTTTTGCAAAGAACGAAACAAATGGTAATCGGAAGGGGCAATATCAGGAGAATATGCAGGTTGAGGGAGAACTTCCCATTCCAACTGGCAGTTTTTCAGCAGTGATTCTTGCAGTATGCGGTCGTGCGTTATCGTGGTGAAGAATTACGCCCTTCCGATTAATCAGCGCGGGTTCTTTTTCTCTTAAAGCTTGGGCTAACCTTTCCAATTGGGCACTATACACTGCACTTGGAATGGTTTGGTTAGATGGTAAAAGTTCATAATGAAGAATTCCTTTAAAATTCCACCAAACACACAACAACTTTTTTCGAATGCAAGTCAGATTTTGCGTGGGCTGCGGAGCCTCATTTTTGTCCAACCATTGAGGCCACCTTTTCAAATTAACATACAGCACCCATTGTTCATCTCCGGTAACAATTTGCTCTAAAAACGGCAAACGGTTTTGACGAGAGAGGAGCGAACTGCAAATTGTGACTCTTTGATTACGGTTGTTGTCGGTCAACTCATGAGGAACCCATTTTCCAAACTTTTGAACTTTGCCAAGTGCACGCAATTGATTGGAAATTGTTTTTGTGAACAATTTAAAGTTGTCGCAAGCTCTTGTTGGGTAATTTGAGGATTTTGCACCAAAAGAGCTTGAAGAGCTTCTTGATCAAAATTGGACACACGGCCTCGACCACTCTTGTCATCTAACGAAAAATTTCCCTCGCGAAATTTCTCAAACCAACGCTGGCATTTTCTGGCGCTAACTGCATCTTGACCAAGAGCACTACAGATGTTTTTTGCAGCCTCACTTGCTTTTCTTCCTAATTGGAACTCGTAAGCATGCAGTGCCGAATATGCTCTTCATCTGCCATCTTCTTAGCCCTAGTTTTGCAACAAAAACCAAACCAAACACAAACTTTTTCAAGCAAAACTTGTTAATTGCACTTCACACGTTCTGTAGATACCACGTGTTTGAAGGTTATGTCAATACAAGTCAACGCCAAGCAAGATTTTAAACGAATGTTAAAAAACGACATTAAGTATTACTAGACCCTATATTATCAAAGACTGACACCTTTTTGACATAGGATGAGAACTGCTGCATAGATGCCTCTCCCAGCTTGCTCCTGTTCCTCTTTGGCATTTCTGAAATTGTTTCTTGAAGAAATCTTGCTAGTTGCAACTTTGCAGCCATTTTCTTTCTCTGTTTTTCTTCCTTAATAATAGAAGAGGAAAACTTAATCAGTCCTTCATGATTACAACTTGGTAGATAAAGATGCAAGAAAAAGAACTGTTACCTTGTTCTTGTTCATCCCTATTTCATGTATCAATATTATTCTCAAACCTAATTGAATGTTTTCTGTGAGAACCAGAGCAAATAAAAAGTAGTCTCTGTTAATTTTACCCTTTATTTATTGCTAATACAATGATCATAAATATTTGATAGATAAAAAATGTCCCCTCAATTGTAGACGTTGTCATTATTTAGAATGAGATACTATTTCCTTTTTTACATCTTATTTTTAAACTACAGTAAATGGTCAACACTATTTTGTATTAATTTCATATGTACAGTATAGTGGTTAGACAATTATATATATTACACAATCTTCCCGATATTTCAAACACCCACCTCACACCAAAATAGTTATTACAATATTATTAATTATATTCCCTATGCTATACTTTCATCCCATGATTATTCTGTAATAACCAATTAGTAATACTCCTTTCACCTTTTTCACCCAACCCCCAACCTCTCTCCCCTCTGGCAACCAGCAATCTGTTCTCCGCATCTATGGGTCTGTTTCTGTTTGGTTTAATCATTTATTTTGCTCTTTAGATTTAAATGTAAGTGAAATCATATGGTATTTGTCATTCTCTGCCTGACTTATTTCACTTAGCTCAATACCCTCAAGGTCCACCCATGCTGTCACAAATAGTAACACTGCATTCTTTTTTAAGGCTGAGTAATAGTCCATTGTATGTATGTACCAGCACTACAGCTTTTTAATCCACTTGTCTATTGACAGACACTTGCATTGTCTGAATTACTTATGAGATACTATTTCTTGCTTTAGCTGGTTTGGCTCTGTAGATAGAGCCTCCACCTGAAGAGTCCTGGGTTCAATTCTGGTCAAGGACACATGCCGGGGTTGTGGGCTTGATCCCCAGAAGGGGCATTCAGAAAGCATCCAACCAATGTTTCTCTTTCATCATTGATGTTTCTATCCCTCTCTCCCTTCATCTCTGAAATTAATAAAAATATATTTAAAAGTAGAGTGGACTGACAATTCTCGGGGAAAAGAGGAGTGGTGGATGCGGGAAGAGACTGAACATAAACTGTGCACCTGTGGATGAGGACAATGGGGGTGTGTGGAAAGGGCAGAGGATGGGGTGGGAACCTGGTTGGGGGGGGGGGGGGAATGAGGAACTTTTGTAATAATATGAACAATAAAGATTGATTTAAAAAATAAATAAATAAATAAATAAATTTGATACCTAATATATATATATATTTTTTAATTAATTTATTTATTTTTTTAAACTGGAGACCTGATGCACAAAATTTATGCATGGGGGAGAGGGGTGTCCCTCAGCTTAGCCTGCACCCTCTCAAATCTGGGACCCCTCAAGGGGTGTCCAACTGCCCTCTCACAATCCAGTAATGCTGGCTCCCAACCACTCACCTGCCTGCCTGATCGACTGCCCCTAACAGCTTCTGATCATTCCCAGCCTGATCATCCTCTAACCTAGGGGTGTCGAACTCAATCAGAGAAGGGGCCAAAATCTAAAATCCAGCCTAAATCGCGAGCCGAATGGTTTACTGAACAGTCATAAACTGTCATTGTGATGGAAACGCAGCGGAGTGCAGTGATGACAGCGCCGTGCGGGCCACATTGCAAGGCCTGGCAGGACGGATTTGGCCCGTGGGCCTTGTGTTTGACACATGTGCTCTAACCACTCCCATGACAGCCTGATCAACGCCTAACCTCTCCCTGCTGGTCCAATTGCCCCTAACTGCCCTCCCTTGCCAGCCTGCCCCCCCCAAATGTCTTCCCCTACAGGCCTGGTTCCCCACAACTGCCCTCCCCTGCAGGCCTGGTCCCCACAACTGCCTTCCCCTGCAGGCCTAGTCCCCCACAACTGCCCTCCTCTGCAGACCTGAATCCTCCCTAACTGTCCTCCCCTGCAATGTTGGAGTGATGGTCAATTTACATATTACTCTTTTATTAGATAGGGTAATAAAGAGGTAATATGCAAATTGACCATCACGCCAATACACAAGATGGCCGCCCCTAAGCGGTCAAAGGTGGCTGCCCCCACGTGGACACAAGATGGCCGCCACAAGATGGCCAGCAAGGGAAGGCAGTTGGGAGAGACTAGGCCTGCAGGGGAGGGCAGTTGAGGGGGACCAGGCCAGCAGGGGAGGGCAGTTAGCGGCGACCAGGCTGGCAAGGGAGGGCAGTTAGGAGTTACTGGGCTGTCAGGGGAGCAGTTACACATTGATCAGGCTGGCAAGTGAAGGGTTAGGCGATGATCAGGTTGGCAGGCAGAAGTAGTTAGGGTCAATAAGGCAGGCAAGTAGTTGGGAGCCAGCAGTCTTGGATTGTGAGATCAGGCCTAAACGGGCAGTCAGACATCCCTCAAGGGGTCCCAGATTAGAAAGGGTACAGGCTGGGCTGATGGACACACACCCCTCCCTGTTCCAGAGCATGAATTTCATGCACTGGGTCTCTAGTATAGGATAATAATAAAATAAACACATAAATAAGATACTGTTTCTTAATCTGGTGTAAACAATCTAGACTTCTAGTTGAACAAACCACTGGTCTGAATGGCCCTGGAGTTTGCTTGAGCCATAAACAAAGAAAACTAAATAATTAACTCTACCCTAAAGTAGCTTATAGTTTAAGTAATGTAAAACAAACACAATTTATGGGTTAAGTGCTATAATAGATATGAACCAAGCACTATACAGAAGAGAAATGAGTGTACACTCTTAAGAAACTATATTGACCATTATTTCTAAATCCTTGTTCATCATCAGAAATGCAGTGTGGCCAAGGCAGCATGGCTCAGTGGTTGAATGTTGACCTATGAACCAGGAGGCTATGATTTAATTCCCAGTCAGGGCACTTGCCTGGGTTGCAGGCTCAGTCCCCAGTATGCGGCATGCAGAAGGCAGCCAATTAATGATTCTCTCTCACCATTGATGCTTCTATCTCCCCCTTCCTCTCTGAAATCAATAAAAATATTTTTTAAAAGAAATGCAATGTAGTGGCATTTTCAAAATAACCATGGTCAGGATTCAGGGCAGTACTGAGCAGGAATATATATCTTATATATACATATTTTTTTTTAGTTGCCCAAGAGATTCTAATGATCACCCAATTATGGCAATCTTTGTTTTTTAGAAAGATCTTAAGGGACTCAGCCAAAAACTCACACAATGGAAATACCTTGATTAGTCATTACATTAGTCAATACCATTTTTAGACATCCATTACACTCAATTGTATCCATATCCATATACATATCCATAAAGAGAATTGATCTATGAACAAGGAGGTCATGATTCAATTCCTGATCAGGGCACATGCCTGGGTTGTGAGCTCAATCCCCAGTGTGGGGTGTGCAGAAGGTAGTCAATCAATGATTCTCTTTTATCATTGATGTTTCTATCTTTCTCTCTCTCTCTCCCTTCCTCTTTGAAATCAATAAAAAAATATTTTTAAGTACACATCCATCTGCCCACTTATTGAGCATCTACTATGTGCTAGAGAAAAAATGAGTAAAATCAGTTATGGAACTTCTATTCTAATGGGAGAGACAAACAGTGACTAAAGATAAACTAGTAACTCCACAAATGGATGTAAAAGTATAATTGAGAAGTACTATGAAAGAGAAATGCATGGTACTGTGCTCCGATATAAATAGAAAGCTAGCACTCTTGTTTGCTTGGAACAAAGAAAACAAGAAATAATTTTCTAGGACTGTGTCCATGATGTGTATATATGTATGTTCAGGAATAAATAGTGTTGAGATAAGAGGAATATTTAGATAAATCACTTCTATCTCTCCCCCACCTCCCCATCTTCCCACATTCACTAACACTTTCCTTAGAAACCAATGGTATTAATTCTAGATCCTAATTATTATACTTTTAATATAAGTACATTAAATCACTGCCAAGCAGTAATATATTGCAATTTGATTCTATGCTTTCATTGTCCATCAAATCTACCTTCAAGTTTTTGTTTCTAATGCCATGTTCATAATTTAGGCTTGGTCCTCTCTCTTACTATTACAATAGCATTCTAGCTGATTCCCTTCCCCTGACCACCCTCCCCCTTGGCTCCGCTCTCTTCAATCCTTTCTGCCAGCAAAATTATTTTTCTAAAACACAGACCTAATAATCATGTTACCCACCACCTGCCGAAATTTACCTTCCATCACTAACCACCTAAGGTAAAGTCTGAATTTCATAGGGTGGTAGATGCTGACCAACCTGATCCAACATAAAACCCTTGTCTTGTCTACCATTGATCCTCTTGTATTCCAACCATAAACAACCAATCAGTGGTCTGCACTATGTCAAACTATTCTTCCTATCCAGAACACTTTTCCAACATTGGGTCCTACAGGTACCTCTTCTGTCAAACATTTCCCAGTCCGATTTAAAAGTTGTCCTGTTTGTCCCCTTAGTACTGTGTTCAGATCTTCATACCACTGTCTAGTAGAGTGGCACAGAATAAAGAGAACAAAGGAGCTGCCTCTGTTTTCTAGCTCATCGCCTTCCCAGTGACCATCAAATGAGGACACCCTCTTCTCAGAGACTATTCAAAAGCACTGAAGGGTCTGTTCGACTGAATCAATCATGCCTGCCATTCAACCAGTCACTGAAATAACAGTGGTTTATGTTTGCTTTATGATTGTTTGCTTGTTTGTTAATTCTCAGCTGAGGATATTTTTCCACTGATTTGTAGAGAGTAGAAGGTAGGAAATCTCACATCGGTTGGTTGCCTCCGGCACGTGCTCAGACCAGGCCAGAATCAAGCCAGCAACCAAGGTAAGTGCCCTTGACCGGAATTGAACCCATGCTCCTTCAGTCCACAGGTGGATACTTTAATCACTGAGTCAAATTGACTAGGGCTTCTTTATTTTTCAACAGTTAAAAACAAATTAAAGTTCAATGGAGAAGAGTAGCACACGTAAAAAGAAAGAAAGAAAGAAAGAAAGAAAGAAAGAAAGAAAGAAAGAAAGAAAGAAAGAAAGAAAGAAAGAAAGAAAGAAAGAAAGAAAGAAAGAAAGAAAAGAAAAGACTCTTGACACTGAAGTTACACCTCTGTCTTTGGCCAAGATGAGCTGCCACAAGGTCTGCCCACCTGCAATGGATGGTGCAGGGAACTGCTCCAGCTTCCTGATCAAGTGGAACAAGCAGACAGACAGCTGGAAACCCAACAGTCTGAAGGCCCACAACTCCTTCCACAACAACGGGCTGATTCACAGTAAGACAGTGGATGTGGAGTCAGCAGGCCCATGGTAAGGGTGTGGTGGTCATTCTGAGGCGGAGATTCGGCCAGCAAAGGCCGGCTACCTACCTGTGGACCACCATCAACAAGAGCACCCAGTGCCAAGCAGCATCTGGTACATGATGCAGGAGCATGTACTGCCTAGATCTGCAGATCTGGCAAGGCGGCCACCCGCCGGGCAGACCATCCTGCATAGCCAGAAACCTGTGATGGTGCAGAGGAAGTGGCTGCTTCACCCCAAAGCAGTAAAGGTGTTAACAACTTTCCTCAGGGAAAAAAAAAAAAAAAAAAATGAAGTAAATTAACCCAACATGGATCATAGACTCAAAACTGTAAAACACCTACTAGGAGAAAATCTTAGATGACCTTGGATTTGGCAAGTTTTTAGATACAACACCAAAAGCACGATCCAAGAAAGAAAAAACACTAAGGCAAGCCTATTGATTTTTTTAAAAGTTAAAAAATCCTACGTACCTTTTTGGATTCACTTTCAAAAGTTGATGGCAACATCTCTGGGAAGAATTTCAGAAACACTGGTATTAAGAATTCCATGAAGGGTACAATTATGAACACCATAAATGGAACCAAGCGGAAGAAATCAACACAAGTCCTCAATAGCTAAAGAATTAAATGCATATGCAATATTCATTATTTTAAAATGTGCCAAAAACAAAAACAATAAAAAAAACAGAACAGAAACCCCTGAAACTAAAAAGGCTGCTTTGGCTCTGAAAGTCTGCAGCTGTTTATAAAATGGGAAGGTGGGATTTTCCTCTTTATCATAGCTCTGAAGTAACATTTAAGGGATATCCTCAAGGAAATCTGTAACAATCAAAATATATTATTGGTATCTTATAGCTTTCATCTAATTTAGGGGTCTGGACTTTAATAACATAGTATCTGTTAAAATTGTTTTTTAATGCATATACTTAATATATTAACAACAGTTTGTATTTCAGGTGCACAGATCGAACCTGCAGCCTCTCAACACCTTGAAGAGATTAGAAAATATAATTATAACCATTCTATAGGCAAATATATACAAATTTAAAAATTTTGCCTACAGTTGTACAGTAAGTCAATAGCAGACAAGTAAGAAACTCAGATATTCCCAATCTTTATCATCAGTTACCATCCCTACTTTGGGATTTTTTTTTAATGAATTTTAAATTGAGTTTAAAACTTGGTTCCTAAATAGTTCATTTTAACTTTACTTTTTTTTTTTAATATGATTCTTGCCTACCTTTCGTCTGTCTCGTCTGGTCAGCGCATGTCCACGCAACAGCCTCCAAATCATTTTGACAGCAACTTTGGTGTCAAGCCAAAGAAAATAGAATCCATTGTAATAATGTTTAAGTTCACCCATAATTCTTTGTCCATAAGATTGCTTTTCTTCCTTCGTCTCCATACCAGTTTCTTTTGTGGGCTGAGAGCTTGTCTCCTGTGGTTTTGGGGGGGTTTGCTCCAGCTGAGGTCCATCAGGGACCTTTTGTAGCCAGCAAGTTGATGTGTGTAGCTTTTGTGTTATCCTAGTTGGTAAGTGATGTCCTTTATTGCCTGACTGACTAGGATAGGAGTACTTCCTGCTTCCATAGTTCTTCACAAATGTTTTATTTAAATGGGAATCTGGCAAGTGAAGAAATGCAAGTGATGGGAAACAAGAAGAGCAGGTGGGATGTACAAAATGGCTAGGGAATCTGGAATAAAGAGCAACATCCTCTGAGTTGAGCACAAATGATTACAAATTTAAAGTTAAAGAAATAGATACTATATCTGGTCAAAATACGTAGTTTTAAAGCCTGTATTTTTAAGCAAATGATGTATGTCCATTAGTGAATGAAATAGCTTTTTACCCCAGTTGAAGAACAGTAACCTTTATGGTAGAATAATATACTCTACAAGAAATATTAGTAAGTTCATTCCAAGAATAATTGCTATAGTAGAAGTTAGAAAACCTATTTATTTAAAAATCTAATAGCAAATAGTTTCCCACTAGGGGTTATATTTGAAAGTTCTTTCTCTTTCTACTACCAGAAAACAGGTGGAAGACTTATGCTGTCATCTACTCTACTGACAATAGGAATGTTATTTGAACAAAGCTGTCCAAGGTCCTTTTGGGGGTTAACCAATCACATAAGATTGCCTTGTCTATGTACTGCCCATAGATTCCCTCAAGTGAGAGACATTTACAACCCAAATGGCCTTCACCTAAGATTCCTGAAGAACCTTAGTAATAAAAACTAGAATTGGGGCACTAAATGGTTTGGCTCAGTGGATAGAAAATCAGCCTGTGGACTGAAGGGTCCCAGGTTCGATTCTGGTCAAGGGCATGTTTCTTGGTTGCAGGCACAACCCCAGTAGGGTGCAGGAGGCAGCTGATCGATGTTTCTTTTTCATCGATGTTTCTAACACTCTATCCATCTCTCTTCCTTCTCTGTAAAAAAAATCAATAAAGTATTAAAAAAAAAAAAAAAGAACTAGAATTGGGCACGCCAGTCAGGGATCTCTACATTCTACTTTTGCCATAGCGTACAGTCTTCAGTTAGACTAGCACATCAGACTGTTTTAAAAATTAAAATAAGATGATCTAGGCAAAGAAAATTCCTGGCAAAGAGACTTCTTTTGGCCAAGAGATGGCTTTTTCCATTCTTTGTTTTTGAAGCATGCCAAGATTTAACACTTTCTGAATGGCTAAAAGGGAATATGTCCAATGTATCCAGCACACAGTAAGTTCTTGGTGAATATTCTTTGTAATAAATAAGTGATAACAGATCTTGTTGGGGCAGGTATAGGCCCTAGGACTGGCTTGTTTGACAATCATTTGACTCCTTTTCATATGTAAAGGCCTCATGTAATATTCATCAATGACATTCTAAAACCATTACATCTTCTATCTTACCTGTACCACACAGCTACAAAATGACTCACCTGAGTTCTAAAGCATATTGAAAATTTGGGATAAGTTTAAATACATTAAAATACCAGCTTCCTAAAAACCAACACAGTTAAAAACAACAAGTCTTTAACTGTGTACTAAGCCTATCCTTTTATATATACTTTTCCATCTAGAAGAATGAAGTTCACATTAATATTGGAGACAGGAGAGAAATTCCAAGACTTACCTTGTTCGGGCAAAAACTAAGACTTTATTATAACAGTAGACAGCCATATTTATATTTGTTTCAACTAGTCAACATAAGGACCTAGGCAGAAGGAGTAAGTAAACAATTCAGTATTTGAAAAAACATCAATTGTAAAGGCATCAGGATTTAAGTGTTTTTAACTACTACAAGGGTAAAATATTTGCATATTCTATTCAAGGTGTAAAGTACTGCCCTGGCCAGTGTGGGTCAGCTGGTTGAGCAGTCCTCCTGTACACAGAAAAGTCACGGATGGATTCCTGGTCAGGGGTCCAGGCATGGGGGAGGCAACCTCACATCAAGGTTTCTTTCTCTCTCTCTCTCAGTAAAAACATATTTTTCTTTAAAAAAAAAAAAATATGTTTCTTTATTGATTTCAGAGAGTAAGGGAGAAGGAGAGACAGGAACATCAATGATGAGAATCAGCGATTGGCTGCCTTCTGCATGCCCCCCACCGGGGACTGAGCCCACAACCCAGGCACGTGCTGGAATCAAACCAGGGACACTTCAGTTTACAGGCTGACACTCTATCCACTGAGCCAATATTTTTAAATATAAAACAAACTAGTGGCCTGGTGCATGAAATTTGTGCATGGTGGGGGGTGATCCTCAACCCAGCCTGCACCCTCTCCAATTTGGGACCCCTTGGGGGATGTCCAAATAGCAGTTTAGGCCCGATCCCTGTGGCAGTCAGACATCCCTCTCATAATCCTGAACTGCTGGCTCACCCGCCTGCCTGCTTGATTGCCCCTAACCACTCTGTAACTGGCCTGCTCGACCCCCAAGTACCCCCTTCTTGCCAGCCTGATTGCCCCCAGCTGCCCCCGCCCCCACACCAGCCTGCTTGCCTTTAACTGCCCCCCAGCTTGATCACACACACACACATACACACACACACACACACACACACACACACACACGCACTGCCCCAGCCTGCTGATCGCCCCTAACTACCTCTGCCTTGGCCTGCCACCATGGCTTTGTCCTGAAGTAGGAAGGACATCTGGAAGGTTTACTGGTCTAATTAGTATATTACCCTTTTATTAGTATAGATTATTGCCCTTCCCACCACCAATGGCTCAGGGGTTGAGCAGACCTATGAACCAGGAGGTTCCAGGACAGAGCACATGCCCCGTGTAGTGTAGGCTCAATCCCCAGTGGGGGGGCGCGCAGAGGCAGCAAATCAATGATTCTCTCTCATCATTGATGTTTCCCTCTCCCCTTCTCCCTTCCTTTCTGAAATCAATAAAAATATATATTAAATAAATAAAACGAATTTTTTTTTTAAAAGATTGAAAGCAGTGCAGATGTACATGGTACCTAATAGTTCAAGTGGAGGTAAACCGGTTTCCTGCGCTAGTGATTCTCCGCAGAGCTTTCTACCTTGAAAAACGCTTCACAGAAACCTTCCTCCTTCCTGTGGCGCTTTCCAGCCAAGGGCAGGCAGCAAGGAGCCTTAGTATCTGTCTTAGCATCAGCTCTGCTTTTCTGCAGCTGGGGGAAAAGTACCAGGGTCTTTCGTGGACGGAAACCTCAACCACAGGACAGACATCTTTGCTCAAGGGTTCAAATCATACTTTGAAACACCCTAACCCAGACTAAGCACGGGCGTCCTCCTGCGGGAGGGAGCCCAGACCCCATCCGGGGGGCCCAGGGAAACCCGGCTCAGCGCTGCGGGCAACCACTTCCCAGGCGGCCGGAGCCCCGCCCGCGCCCATGCCCCGCCCACGCCCGCACCCGGAGCCGCAGCCGCCGCCTCCCTCGTCTTCCGGCTCTGGGGGATCTGGGCACCCTGCGCCCTCGCCTCCCTCTGCCGGTGGCTCTGGCGCGCGTGGTGTGGACGGGCTGTGTCTGGTGCGGCGGGGTCTGCAGTGTTTCTTCTGGAGTGTATTTGGTGCGGGCGTGGTGCAGGCCGGCGATCCGGGTTTATGGGAGGCAGACGAGAAGCAGGACACGGGGTACCGAAGAGAAGGGAGGAAGTGAAGCACGAAAGAGGGGGCGCGGAGACTGAGCTCCGAGGCTGTTGGGCGGGCCAGGGGGCGCGGAGAGCGCGCTGGGCACCTGGAAGCGGTCGGGGACACACTGGGCGCCGGTGGGGGACACACCAGAAGCCGGGGGAGCGGGCTCCGCCGGGAAAAGGCGGGCGCGGTCCGCCGGGTCCCTGCCCGCGGATGTGGCCGGCCCACCCCTACCTCCTGGGCCGGCTCCCGCGAACGGCCGGCCGCTCAGTCCTCCAGCCCCTTCCCGAGGCCCCCGCCCCGGCGCCCCAAGCTAGACGGGCCCGCGGCCGTCTCTATGGCTCCTCCCCTTTCCTGGCGCTGACGTCACCAGGAGTGACGACATCGCCCACCAATGGGCGCTCGGGTTCTGCGGAGCGGGCGTGCCCTCCGCGGTGGCATTCCCGGAGGGAGGCTGCGAAGCCCAGTTTTCCCTCCGGGCGACCGGACTGACGTCCCTGTGGGGTGTAGTGTAAGGAGGCTCTGTGTTCAGGGGTGGGAGGAAAGCAAGACCTGCATTTTCCTCTCTGTCCCCAGTCTCTCTAGGTTCGTGGACCAGCCCGAAAGCCTTCGCTTGAAAGCTGTGTTAAAGTAGCTCTTAGCCTCCGGAGAGCGCAATAGGCCCGATAGTCGCCATGGTAACCTTCTTGGAATCATGAGTTACATCACTTTTGGGTTTTTCCTTCCTTTTTCCCCCACCCCCTCCAACTGCGCAATTGCGGGGGGAGGAAGCAGTGGAAAGAGGGAGTGGCAGAAAGGGCGGGAATGGTAAAGAAGACATCCCTCTGGACCAAGACTGCAGTGCTGTGTAATCTCAAGATGCATTATAAAGGTTCTCTTCACCGGTTTTTTCTGCTCAGTATTTTATTTAAAAATCTCATAATATTTCAAATAGATACTATAGTAGCTGTGAAGGTTGGGGGTGTGGGGGGACACTTTAGTTTCTAGGATGAGCAACTGAGCCATTTTGGGGAAGTGAAAGATCTAGAAATGTTCTCGTTCCCTGGTTATCTCTACCCACCGATTTTATCTGGCTCTAGAAGGAAGAAAACATTTTTATGGCTGACTAACACAAGACAGCAAGGAATACCTTCCTCACGGAGAACACTTCTCTTAACATGTTGGCTGACATGTGTCATCTGGGCTGCACATTTGAAAAATGAAAGATGACGGATATTAAATCTCAGGGGTTTTTTTTAAAGCTATTTGTTTTGTTTTTAAATACAGAACTGCTTTTAATTCACAAAGCATTTTCAGCTATCATAGTAACTAAAGGAATTAAGTAGGCAAAACTTTTCCATTTGGCCACTAGAGGGCACTTAGTGCATGTCTGATGCCCAACTTTCCACATAATGGTTTCACTTCACGTTCTATGTTTACTAGAATTAACAAATTCTACAAAGCTTTGGTCTTTTTTACCTTTGCTTTCTTAGCCTGAAAATTCCCGATAGTAAATGATGAGCTCTAAAAGGCTAGGGCATAATTGTCACCTTAATTTAATAAATTAATCACCGCAAAACCATGTACCCCTACTTTTCTGGAAAAGATCATGATACAAAAATCTTCCTCTTAGTACAATAGTTCCCCGGGGGACATTTTATATCAGGAAATACTCTTATTCATGCATTGTATTCACTTACAACCAGGCACAGTGAAAATCATTAAGTATTCATAGACCAGATGCATGATTCTAAGATCACTATTTGAAAGATGAGCTTGATTTTCTCCCATGGCCATATGTTGGCAATCCTATTCTGCAAAGGGAAGGGTTAAGAATCTTTCTTATTGAAATTTATTTATTCAAAGCAATGTCTGCCTTCTCTTGTTATTAGAACTGGTGACGTTTTTACTTTCAGGGTAAGTGATTTATAACATATGGAGTTTTTTGTTATATTCTTTAAACAGGAAACAATGTTTTTCTCACTAACTCTAGCCCTGATTGTTAGATTGCTGTCTTAATGACCTGTTTGCTCATTTTCTTTGGAGAAGAGAAAGCATGTTCTGGCCTTCAGATGTTAGATGTTAAAAATATTTTTAATGGGCATGTCCCTAAATATGGTTTCAGATAAAATATTAGAAATATAATGTGTTTTCTAGTGTTTTGCAGAAACAGCCTATTCACCTACCTCACATAACCTTAATTTCAAACTTTGTCAGCAAAGTTTTAGAAGAAAATAAAAAGTCCCTAGGGACAACCAAATTCTTCTCAAGGGGAAAATCCAGGTGTCTGGTCAAGGTAACATTTTATCAACAAAACGGGGTAAATATTGGAAGGTGGAAAAGAAGGGTGGAGGTGGAAGGGATCACAGGAATAAAAAAAAAAAATAACTTTTCTTCCCAAGAGATAGAATCAAACTAAGCTCAGGTAGTCCCCCTTTGGAGGTCTGAGCTCCAAAAAGACATCTAGGCATTTAAAACAAACAAAAATGTTACTTTATTGATTCCTTTAGCTTTTGTTGCTACACAAAATATAGATACTACAAAAGCATAGTTTTAAAGAAATGATTAATAGTAATGGGAATGCTTAACTTGAATATCATCCTTAATATTATTAACAGGATTGTTTTTTAAAAACTAATACATAATTAGTAGTCATTAACATAATTGATCTGTGGGAATGCTTTAATCCCTATTTAAGTGGTAGTTTAAGTTATCAGGAATTTCTTGTAACTGTATCAAATAGAGCCAGCACTGTAACGTCTGTGGAGAGGCTAGCATCCAGTAGCGATACAGCTTTATGAATCTCAGAACAGTGAGCAGAGTTTTGGTTTTCTCATCTGATTGCTGCCTGTGGTTCCTTCATATATTCTCTGTGCTGCAATGTTCTAGTCATTGTCACCCAGTCCCCAGGAAATATCACCAAATCTGCACACTCCAGCAAACCAGTTTACTGTGGGACACCTCCCAGGACCTTCCATGGTTTAGCAGAAATTTCCTAGGATGGGGGAGCCGTGTATGTGTGTGTGTGTGTGTGAGAGAGAGAGAGAGAGAGAGAGGGTTACAGAGAATTTTGACTCCCTTTTTCCTCATTCTTGCGTGGACTCTATAAGTACAAATGCACTCACATCCCTGAAACGAAAGACCTAGCAGCAAGCAGAAGGCCCAAGCACGTGATGGGCACCGGGGTCTGGGGGCGCACAGGGCCCCTACGTCCTCCTCGTTACCCACAAGCCTCCGGGCCAGCGGTGCGAGCAGGAAGCGGGCGCGCGGGGGCCCGGACGCTGCGAGGGAGGTGGGCGCGCCCTCCCCGCCCCCCCACCCCCCCACCTCCCCACCCCCAGAGGTTGAGAGGCCGCCGGGTCTGCCAAAGCTTGCAGGCGGGGAGCCTCCGGCTGAACACGCAGGGGAGAACGAGAGACTCGCCCCCGAGGACCCAGGAGGAAGTCCTCGCCATGGTGTGCACACGCAGCCCCCGGCGGGCCGGGCGGCTCCGCTCTGACAGCTGTCGGACGGAAGGCGGCCGTGGAGCCACACGCGCCGTCGTCCCCTTTCCGGCCCGTCCGCAGGTGAACCTCACACTTGGGGGGGTCGGACGGCAGTGCCGCTCTGCGGGGTCCCGCCGGGTGTTCCCCAGACGTGCTGGGGATCGATTCGGAACGCGCGCGAGCACGGTGTTCCCTCACCGGCCCGACCCGTCGGCGGCCGCCCCCACCGCCCGGTTTTGTTTTGGTTTTGCTCCCCGCCGCCCCCCGCCGCTTCCGGCCCTTTCGCCTTCCTTCCCCGCCCGCCTACCCCGCCCGCCGAGGCTGCACGTCAGGCCCCGGCTCCCTCCGGCCGCTTCCAGTTTTGCCTCTCGCTCTGGCCCCGCCTCCCCGCTCGCTCCGCTCCAGCCGCTTCCTCCGCCCGCGCCCCGCGCCCCGCACCCGGGACTGCATTTCCCGGCAGGCGCCGGGGCGGCCAATAAGCGGCTGCAGATTTGGCGGCGGCGGCGGCGGCGGCGCCCCGAGAGTCGGGGTGGGGGGGGCTTTGTGCGCGGCGTCGGTGGCGGCGGCGGCGGGAGCGGCAGCGGCAGCGGCAGCGACGACCAGAGCCGAGGCGGAGGCCGCGGGGGACTGTCCACTGGTGTGGCCGCCGACAGACGCGCGGAGGCCGGAGCCCAGCGGACCCTGCTGCTGCCCGCGTCGGCCGCTGGCCACTGGCTCCTCTTCGGTAGCGGCGGCTCCGCGGCGAGCGACCCCGTCCTCCCTCCCCGCCCCTGCCCACCCCGCCGCCGCCGCCGCCGGGAGCCTCACTCCTCCCCGCTGCCGGCCTGGCTTGGCCGGCCCGCCGGTGGCCTGCTTCCGCTCTCGCCGCCATGGCAGCGGCGTCCGGCGCGGGGGAAATCTAGCCCGGGGATTTCATGCGGCCTAGCTCGGCCCCGTCTCCTCGCCGTGCAGCCCGGGCGGCTGCCCGCACCCCAGCGCCACCCCGGGCCCCCGTGTCTCTCCTGTGACCCTGCGGACACGGCTGGGGGTTAGAATGGAACAAACTGAAGGTAAAGTGAATGCGTGCGTGTCTGTGGGCATGTGTGTGTGTGTGTGTGTGTGTGTGTGTGTGTGTGTGTGTGTGTGTGTGCTGGAGGGGACGGAACCTGGGGGGGGGGGGGGGGGGGAGAGAGACTCCCCGTCCGAGTGGGAGGACGCGCGCGGCCCGCCGGGGTCCGAGGGGCGCCGGGAGGAGGAGCGGAGGGCCAGGCGGGGGTGTGAGGGGTCCGGGGAGGTGGGGCCGAGGGAAGAGCCGGAGTGGCGCTGCGCTGGGAATTGGGAGTCGGGGTGGGATGGGGGCGGGGATACAGATGGGGCCGGGGGAGGGGCAGGCCCCGCGGAGCGGAGTTAGGTTTCGGAGGAGACCTGGGCGGGCTGACAGATAGGTTTTGGGGGTGTAGGGTGGGGGGACTGGGACCCCGGGGGAAGGGAAATGTGAAGGAGAAATGTGAAGGAGAAATGGGCATCCAGAGAGAGACGAGGAAGTGGAGGGAAAGGTGGTGGGTTAGGAAAAAGAGAGAGGCTACATGACTGAGGACAGGATGCAAGAGGAAGAAGGTAGGAAAATAGACCCAGGACATTGGAAAGACCTCGTTTGAGGAAAGGGAAGGACATGAACTTGGATGTTGAAAACGGTGGGCACCAGCCGACCAAACATCCCAGAGTGGGAGGAAAAAGACGGGGAAGGGGGTTATGAAAAGTGTTAGGAAGGGAAAGCCTTTTGTTCCTATATTTGTGTGGGTTTTCTGTGCCTTTTTCGAGCAAGGCTGGAGAATGGAGAAGCAAGTGGTTATGCTGTTAGGGTGGTTGTGAAACGGGGAGGCGTGGGTTTTACCATTTTGAGGGAGAAGGGTTAGTGTGATGGGAGCAAGGCAGGGAGAGGCATGGCCACAATTCGATGGTCTTGGTGAGGGAGTGGAGACTCTTCCGATTTAAAGGGGGCAGGGGCAGCCATGTTTGCTGCCAGGCACTGCAGAGTAAATAAATTCCTTCTCTCCGACATCCGTGCGAATCTGGAAGGGGCCGTTTCAGAGGGTTAACCCCCTTCCTTTCTGTTCATGAACTCTTCGCTTCCATCTTGAGGTCATTTAGAATTATTCTTAACCACCGAAAGGAGGTAGTGATGTTTTCCATCTTGTGTGTTTTGCTGCCTCCCCACCCCCTTCCCTCTTCCTTCTGGTTGCAAACTAGGCATGCTAATGAACCGCAGTGTAAAATTTAACCCTTCTTATAAAGTTAAGACTGTCTGTTTACTAGCTGAAGGAATCATTTAGCGCTCTCTTATTTCCAACATGATCGTGAAAGATCTTTTCAATATTCATTGCCTTCAGAGGCCTCGGAAGCAGTCAACATGTTTTCTGCAATTCTTTAAGTAAACAAGGAAATTGCATCGGTTATTTTACTTGGACTTGTGCTCTTGGCAAAGCATTGTGTGGGGGTGAGAAGGGATAGGAAGATCTGCTTGTCATAGATTATCTGCTTGCTGTATTTTGGATATTAGAAAATATGTGTAAAATTTTAAAATGTGTTTCAGATAGCTCTTGCTTATAGGTTAAGAAGCATTTTCTTTCTTTTTTTATAAACGCTGTTCCCCTTCACTTTCATGTAACTAGCTTAATACAAGCTTCAACAACAGTTCAGCATATTGCAAATAATCTATGAAGTAAGCATGCAGTTCTCAGCCTCGTTGAAGTGCCAGTATTTTTGGTGGGAACTTTAGGCTACTCTCAGGAAAGCTACAGTAACTCCTCAGTATATTTAAATGTAATTATTTGTGTGCTGGGAAATTCAGTTTAAATCCTGACAAGTTTACAATAGATACATTAGGTGGAGACTCTTATTTTCATATTGGAAAGGATTAAATGTGTGTGACCTCCTGTTTTGTTTTATAATTATAATTGGAGTACTCTAAACTTTAATTAATCATGTTGATAAACTGTTCGTTAATACCAGGAAGGCTTGTTAAAACTGTAATATAATGGACCCAAACCAGTTGCACTACATACTGATTTAATCTACCCTAATGCAACATTTTTTCAGTTTTTATATAGAAGTTTAGGATGTGTTCTTGATCTTTTAAAAAAATGAAATTGAATAATGTTAGAGTGGTGCCTTATGAAAGTACTTTTAGTATAAAGGTCAGGTTTACAACTTGGGAGTATTTTTATTTGATAAAATTAAGCCCAAATTTTTGGAAAATTTGTGAGAAAAAGTTTCACTTCAAACGCCATTCAGTAAGCTTTTTTTGGAATTAATTTTATACAGATTGCATTTTTATGTCTCCACTCACTTGACATGTTATTTGTAATTAATTTGCAAATTATGTGCATGAACTATTAGTTCCATACATTTTTAGGAAAATGAAAACTATGTTAAAATAAATAACTCACATTGGCAGCTTGAATTGCTAAAAATAAAGCGTATTTTTATGTATGCAGCATTTTGTAAAGATCAGGGACCCTTGTCCAGTTGTCGTGAGTAGTTTGGTATCTTGGATAGGTATCCATATAACGAAGAAGACTATTCTAGTTAGAGAAGACTTACTAATTAAAACCCAAACTTGACTCTGATTACCATACCTATCAGCCCACCTGCTACCTGTGAGAGGTTTTTTTTTTGTTTTTTGTTTTTGTTTGTTTTGTTTAATCCTCGCTGTAGGGTATTTTTTTTCCTATTGCTTTTTAGAGAGAGTGGAAGGGAGGAAGGGTGGGAGAGACATAGATTGGTTTCCTTTCCCAGAAGCCCCAACAAGGGCCAAGGATCAAGAACCTGTGACCCTGGGAATTGAACATGGCCTTTGGTGCATGGGCCGATGTTTTGACCACTGACCCGGCCATGGCTTTGAAAGTTTTTTTATTTTCTTTTTGTTTTTAACTTTAAATTAATAAATGTGCTCTTATGTGGACTCAGTTGAATGAGTTTTGAGTTTTGGTTAAAGGAAATCGGTTGTCTTTGAGATTGAACATTCTTGAGTGAATGTCAAATTTGATTCTAAATACTCTGTTTATGGAGTTTATAATAACATTCACAATAATCATAGTTATAGCTGATAATAATTGTCCTCTTAAAATATGCTATGCTGAGTATCTTAAATGCATGGTTTTCTTTACCCTCCAGACAGTTAGTTGTGTGAGGTTAGTACTATTAACTCTGTTTTACAAATGGGAAAATTGAGGTTTAAGTAGCTTAACAACATTATACATAGTAAATAGCAAAAGTAGTATTTGAACTCATGTCTTTTCTAATTATATAACCTGAATCAGTAATTTTTACTTTTAGGTCTTTTAAAAATTCACTCAAGTAATACTTGTTTATTATTATTTTTTTAATTATTATAAAAGACTAAGAGGTTTTAAAAAGTTCCCCTATTTCCTATTGGTGATCATTTGAAGTTTCTTGTGTGTCCTAGAATATTTTTGTACATATATGTACATCTGTCTTAAAGTGCATATAAATTGGGCCATACTATATGCATTTTGCATTTTTGTTTTAACAGTCTATCTGGGACATCCTTCTAAATGAGCCCTTATGAATCCATAGCATTTTTTTAAAAGGTCGTATAGTATTTCATTGTTTGGAATGTTGGTTCACATAAGTCATTGAACAGGTCCCTAACAGCTTATTTAACTAGAAAAGAGATACAGTACAGCTATTTTATTTTACAAGAGAGAAAACAGGCTTTGGAGACATCCTGTTACTTGGCTCTTTACACCACATCACAATACATCATTATTATGAAAGTATTTGAGCTTTCTGTGAAAGCTCAAGGTGAGGGGCAATTCTCAAGCTTAAGCGCAGTTAGTATAATGAATGCAAGAGGATTAAGTTGTAGTGAGCTAAAGGATTGTTTCTATTCATATTTACTATGTTTTACATATAGCATATGCACAGAATATTTTTGCATACACAAATTAATGTCCAAATATCTTTTTTTTTTAATATATTTTTATTGATTTCAGAGAGGAAAGGAAATGGAAACAGCAATTTTAAGAGAGAATCATTGATTGGCTGCCTCCTGCATGCCCTTTACACCCTGCACTGGGGATGGAGCCTGCAACCTGGGTGTGTGTGTGCCTGAGTGGGAATCAAACCATGAGCCACACCAGCTAGGCATGTCCAAGTATTTGGAAGTTTGTGTTTTGTGTAATGAAGTGGCCTGGGGCAGATTTATTCCGATTTTAATAAGATTAGCAATGAAATAAGATAGCAATGAAATAAAAAAAAATAAGGGGTCCATTATCATCCTGGAAAACGATTTGGAAAGAAAAATGAGACACTGGTAAATTTTTAAAAATGAACTAAAAATACCTCATTGAAAAGTTTTTTAAAAATCTTAGAAGGCAATGTTGATTATTTTTTATTTTTGTCAGGAAGAAAAGTTATGATGGGTATTTATTACGTTCTTTAAAAAACGAAAAGGTAGGCTATTTTAGACACTTAAAAATTAAAATCATTAAAGCTTTAAAAAGGTTTAGAATTTAGTATCCATAAAGTCTGCTTCTTGATGAAATGCTGTGTTTAGTTTTACTTTAAGTGGAGTCTGTCATATTTGAAAGAGCAGCTAAGGTGATTTATTCCTTTGTTAATAAATATGTCCAGCGTTTGAGTTTTCAATGAATGATGAGCTTTATTTCTTCAAGCTAATCATTTTATAAATATTAATAGTGGTAAATTAAAAAAAAATTGATTATACGATGGCTAACTAACACATTTTTTTAAATGCTTACCAAGTTTTGTTTTTGGTTTTTATTGTTGACCTTACTAAGTGCTTAATAAGTACCTTTAAACACTTCCATTTTTAGTGTGCCTTTATAGTGTGGCATGAACAGAAGAAGGTTAAAGGCATATTTTCAGTTTTGTGAATTTAGAAAATGTTCAGTTTTTTACTAGATGGATGTGTGTTGTTACTCCTAAAGTACTTCTGTTTATTGACAAGATTTTGAATTTGAAAATGGGTTCTTGGCTTATTTTTAAATTTCAATGTGAATCTGTGTCATAGTTAATTCATCTA